GGGGAAAAAAGGAAAATATGTATAACTTTTGAAATATATCTTATTTCCTACTCCAAAAGAGACATAGTATTTTGTTTTAACCTCCTGAGCTTAATTAAGCACACATGCCTCTATGACAATATCTGAAAATCTGAACAGTAATGTCAGCAAAAGGAGTTCCTCTATTTGATCGCATTTACAATATTAGTATAGCTGAAATTTTCATTATGGATTATGGTTCCTGCAGATATAAACTCAAATCCTGGGGAATTTCTGGAACTGATCTAAATTTCCAGAAATTGAGCCCGTATTGCTCTGCTTTGAATATATTTATCTCATTAACTCTTGCTGAGAAAAGCAAGAGCCTCAAATAATATTTTGAACACTTAAATGCATTCCTTTTTGTTTTGTTTTGTTTTGGCTTATGATTAACAAAATTTTAAAACTAAGTAAATATAGCGTATTATAAATAATCTACAATATACTTGAATAATGATGATATAAAAGGTAAATGCTAATTGACTAGTTGAGAAATGTTGGTCAAAAGTTTCTGGGAAGTCAGAATCTCATTCAAATATTAGAGTAGCATGCCATCATGTTTATTAATGATTAAATAAATATTAATATTTCATGAAGCTATATTTCCATCAGAGGTATGACATGGCAAGTCATAAATTACTGCCTGAAATCTTTTTCTCAGAAGTAATGTAAAGTGTGAAACTTAGAGAAAGTAAAGTGTGAAATGCCTTTTTTTGGTTATACTTCTTCAATGAAGTTATATGAGTTAAGATCCATCATAATGTACTGATGTAAAAATAATTTTAATTTTATGCCATGTTATGAATGAATAAAATATAATTTGATAAAGTTAAAACTTTAATATTTTCAAGTCAAGGAGAAGAAAACAAGTTATATGAATAGGAGAAACAAAAAGTATATTGTAATACCTACAGGTGAGTGATTTGAATATTTATTCCTTTAAATTTAAATCATCATGTTCAAATTTACTGCAGTCTTATTTAGGCTAAAATTATATGTTGAATGCATCAAAAAACTTTTTTTAGTAACAATGAAACATTTTAACAAATTTAAATTCAATATTGTCTGGCAGCGAAATTAAAAAAAAATAAAATGTTCTAAAATATTCTCCCTGGTGTATAAATTTGCAAAGTCAAAGTGTTATTCAGATTTCTAAAAATTTTTATTAGTATTTACTGATAAGTTTACATTAAAATTCCAGTAATGTCCTTATAAAAGTTAGAAATGTATCATATGCTATTGCCTAATTTTTAAAAATTCATTTTAACAAAAACATTAATATTTTATACTACCATAACACACTAATCTATAGAGTATGAAGAAATGATTCCACTTAGATACATAATCCAACTTGATTTCTGGGAGTTCCTCTTACCAGTGACTTTACTAATATCAGTAAATATTTTTCAAAATAACTCAACTTTCTTCAGAAGGGCAAGAGTTGATCAGATCATCCAAGTTGAACAGGTAAAAGGAAAAAAAAAATAACTACATCCCAAGACTTATAATTGTTTTGTTCTCTTATCATATATATATAAGTTTAAAATTAGAGGAAATAGAAATTCATTGTGCTGTTCTGGGTACTTCTGTCAATTTAAAAAGTTACATTAATATATACTTTATGTATGAATTAACATTTTAGTTGTTTTATATTTTTCCTAATAAGTAAATACCTTTTAGTAAACAGGGACAGAGGTAGGGAGGGATCAAAAATTGCTCTTTGTGTGGTTCCAATAAACTATAATAGAAAGCTTCCTTACAACTAATTCAACGATTATCTTTCTTTTTTAAAATAGTTTTCACGTCTGAAATGGGTTTTTGAGATTTATATAATATACAATTTTGGTTTATTTTTACCAAGCACTTCCTCGAAGCAAGGCAGTGTATAGAGACTATTCCTAGTACATTGGTACATTGTATTTACAAAACAAACAAAAAACTCGTTTAAGGTTTTATATTAAGTATAAGTCAAAATTATTTATTTTAGAAACTTTGAAATTATGAGTGCTATTATGTAACTATCATTACTGAAAAATATCTGTACTATCCTCCAAAGTCCTTACCTATTTTCCCCAAATCTTACTCAGTTCTTACTACCCTGGATTACTCAGGTTTGTTTAACGAGGTCATCACGTTTAATAGTGAAAGATGCCATGCTTATCGTTAGCTCAAAAAGTTATTTATTTGCTTTGTTTGTAAATCTTGCTACACCATCATAATTCCTGATGTAGAATTCATTTGTTCAATAAATAATAACTGAGTGCTCACAGAGTGCAGGCACTGTGGTTGTGTGAATTACAAGAACAAAGGGACAAAAATGTTGGCTGTCATCCAGATAATGTAAACCAGTATAGGATGGTAGGAATAAACGGGACTCTTACTCTTCGCAGAAAATGCATCTATTTTTCCAACTTTTTCCAAATGAAAATATAAGAAAATAGGAGTCTAAAAAAATCACTGTTTCCAACCCTCACAAGTGTTTAAGACTATGCCCAATTTTTAAAATTTGTCCTAAGACATCAGCTAACTATATTTCCCATATAGTTTCTAGCCCAATTTTAAACCAAACTCTGCGAATCTGTCAGGCATATTATCAAAAAAAAATTATAAGTTTAGCATTTAAATAAACCTTAGATTTTCTAGTATAACCCTCTAATTTTCCTAATTAAAAAATAGAAATTTAGGGATCATAAATTTCAAGTGATTCATCCAAGATCACAAGTGACGAGGTGAGATCTAGAATATCGATATGCAGAATACTATATGATGATACTTTCTAATAGTTCATTATCAGCCTCTTTTCTAAAATATTAATGTGCTTATATAACTTTTTATAAAATAAGCACAAGTACACTTGAAATATTAACCAAGTTCCAAACTAAATGGTACATAAACTCATGAAGTTGTTGAGCTCATTATGTAATTATTACGGAGGGAAAGAACCATAGCTGATCTAACTATGTAGAAAGAATGTCATGGTCTGAGCACTTCGTCAACACAATACTAGGGCAAAAAACCCAACTTTATTTTAAAACATTTTAAAATGATGAGCTCCTTGAACTATAATTATGAAAACAATCATTGTTATACATTTATACTATATTAAAATAATTTAAAACTTTTAAATTAATATATACATGGCTTTAGGAGGTCTTTCTCTGGTGCAGGCAATAAAGAGGTTCATTTTGCGTGGAGAATTTAAAAACAACAGTAGCATCAACTATCACCATGTACTGGCAAGTCAAAACATGTCAAAAATATAATATTCCTCCCTGAAAATATCTTTTATCTATCTAAGTTCTAAAAAATTACTGTTGAGTTTTGACAATACAACTCATATTGAGCTTTGAATTAGCATATTTTAGTTCTTATTCTACTTGGAATATTGTATTCTACTTGCAAATTAATTTGGAGATTTCCCAATTATACAGTTCACCTTAAATAATACATGTGGCCTCAGCTGTATTTGCATGTTTTGGGAGTAAGAACTCAAGGTTGTTTTGTTTGTTTGTTTGTTTGTTTTTCATTTCTGCAATGACTGTGGAATCATTATTTTGAGAATACTATATAAATGTAAGAATATGTAGTGTTGCAGGAGCTAGTATCACAAAATTCTCTCAAAGGCAGTTCATACTGTGTTGAACTATAATAAAATCAGAAGACTTTACCAAATGTAATAGAATTTAATGTTGAAATTTTGGGTGAAGTCATTATGGTGAAATTATTCCAAAGAAAGAAAAACTTTCATCAAATTGAAATTTATGAAATTCATTATAAAATGGAATTTTTATGAATCAGTGCCAAAATTTCAAACTATTGTATATATGTTAGTTCATGTGAAAAATATTTTTCAAAATTAAGATTAATAAAATTATGAGTGAAGATAAATTGACCAATATGGTATTTATTAAACATGAACATACAAATATTAGTTGTGACACAGTCATCAACAAATTTGCAGAAGGCTCAAAAAATTATAGTGTTATTTATTATTGTGATTATTTATTAGCCAATGAAAAGTTATTAGTGTTTCTCCCTTTCTTTCAAAAAATACATTGATGTAATTAAAACATGTTAATCTGTTAATTTTTCCTTTCATATAGCATTAGTTCTGTGTTGTAACAAGTTACTACTAATTTAATGGCTTAAAACAACATAAATTTATGATCTCATAGTTCAAGAGTTCAGAAGTCTTAAAAAGTATTTGCAAGTCTGCATTTCTGTGACTTCTAGAGAGAGAAAAAAAATGTTTCCTTGCCTTCTAAAAGAACTTCTAGAAGTATTTTGCATTTCTGGCCTTGTTTGGCTCCTTTCTCCATCTTTAATTCAGCAGCATTTTCAAATCTCTTGTCAACCTCTCTCTCTCTCTCTGTCTCTTTTTTCTGTCTCTATTTTTGTCTCTCTCTATCATTTTCTCTCTCTCTTTCCATATATACATATATAATGAAAATTAATAAAGGAAACTTCAACTAAAATTGGAGAAGGAAAGGCTTATAGAGAGAACTCCCCTGCCTTATCACCCTATGTCAATTACCCCAAATAGGAAGATATCAGCTAAAGACTCCAATAGGAAGAGAAGTACCTTGCGCTCCCAAAAAGGAAATTCAACCACTTTACCATCCAAGCAGAAGGAGGGTTTTCCTCTCGCACAGCCCCAAACCCAGCCAACTGAAATGGGGAGGCTCAGTCAATGAGAAGCTATCGTCACCTGAACTCTTACTTTCCTCCAATCAACTTTCTTTTTTCTCTTGCTGATGACTTCCTTGACCCATCTTCCTTCTTTTAAAAGGCTTTTCTTTTGTGACTCAGTCATTTATAAGAGGATAGCTAAATTGTCTCCTTGGTTTTATACAGTAACAGAATGTAGCAAGATGCATTCATTAAAAGCAAAATTGGTAATGGCATATCAAGGTACTGTTTTATCCCGTCTCACAGCAACTAAGATTAATGAACAAAGAACAAGTGGCTGACATAAAACATACCCATGGGGGTGCCAACGCCATAACCTTTGGAGTCTATAAGGCCACCAATCTGTGTCAGGTTACAGTTCCGCTGGGTAACAAATTCGATGGTTGTTGACTCCATTAGGAAAGCATAATCAGAGGTGAGGACTCGCTGAATTCCTTCTTCATTACTTTTGACAAGCACTGACTGTCTCCTACTACTCATAAAGGCCCACATTTTGTCATACGTGGAGATTTTTGATTTCTGGGGAAAAATAAAATACACAAGAAAGATATTCTTTAGTTTCCATGTGACCCTACAATATTTAGATGGAATTTGCTATATTTAGTTTACTCATATTACCATATACCCATATTATTAATAACAATGATATCTAAATGGAAAATCAAAATCTGTATAAAAAAGTTTTTCATAGAAATCCCTCATCATATTTCCTGGTATAGTACAGATGTACTTGACAAATACATCAAAAAGGTCTTAATGTTCAAAAATGCATAAGTAGTAAATCATAGAAGGCAATAAAAAGGAAAATAAACAAGATTAATAAAGAGGGTTTTTTGTGCTTATATCTCACATGAGTGTCTTATGTGTATAGTCTTATCTTTCAACATTACTATAACATTAATTTGGAAGAGACAGACACTGGCAACCAATTGACACTATAAAACTTGAAGAGATTATCTTTCCCAATTTGATTGACTATAAGTCAGATGTCATGTTAACCTCCAAGGATACACAAAGATGTAGGTTGAAGAGATGAGAGAAATTCATTACAAATAAAGATGTTACAAATAAGAATGACTATATTTCCACTGAGATACAATCTGGACACCACAGAACTTCTTTAGCCTGCTTCAGGACGACAAGAAATCTATCATTCATGTCTATTAACTAACTAAAGATTTCTGGACCAATAAAATTGCATAGTTTTTATATCCAATTGAAAATTCTCAGTAGGGCTTTCCTTGGATTTCATTAGGAAAAGAAATGGGTTTTGTTCAGAAGGCATTGGTAAAACATAAACATGAAAACGGTTCACATCTGCTATGAAAAGCTCATCTGTGAAAGCCTTGCTCTAGTTTAATTCTTATACAGATACAAAAAAATAATACTGAAGCTATAAACACAAGGAGGATATTCATCATACTGGTTGCAGTGCTATAAAAAGCCAAAACTATTTTCAAACAAATAGATATGCAATCTTTTTACAGCTTAAGCATACTTTTAGTCTTACATGTGCCAGGTCATAAATGTGATATTACCATAATTACTTCTAAAAGGCAGGTACACAACAATATTTAGAAAAATTCCAGCACTGTTTCAATGATAAAATGGAAAGAAAATCCTTAAATTTACTGAGGAAAAAACTAAAAGTATACAAGTGCTTTATAAAGAAGTATAACATTAGAGCTAAGAGAGGGTAGAAATGAAAACCTTTGCTCTCCAGTGAAACTAAAACATGCTAAAAGGCCAACAGTTCAAAGTTTAAAAGAAACCAGCTAAAACAGCTAGAATAAAATTATTAGGATTACAAATTTGTACAGCTATGGTGGCCTGTCAATTATTTTCAAGTAAAATAATCAAATATTGGTAATAGAAAAGAGAAATGAAACAAATATTTAAGATTATGATAAAATTCTTATTGGAATAATTAAGACCAATAGTGAGATTTTTGCATAGACTCAGTTGTTTGTCCAAAACAGTAACATAATAAGGATAATCAGAACAAGTTCATTTCCTTTCAAAGGTAAAAATTTTTCTCCTAATGCTTTGGATTAAGTAAAGCCTAAATATAAAATTAAATCAAAATTAAATCTCACCTGCAGATCAAAGGAATTTTATGTAAAAAAATAAAATTGGATGCAGTTTTTAGTTTAGTAAATCTGTCACTGACAATAGATAAATAATTCCATAAATGATAACACTAACATTAATGTAATCAAAATGGCACACTCATCACTTCAGAATTTAAAATGTAACATCTTTCTTATCTTCCATTGTTATTTAAGTATCTCTTATTTGATTGACTTCTGATTTTCAGGAACCTATTATCTACGATTTTTGTACAGCTTCACACAGCTTTCCTGTCTGATGAATTATTATTCTTATAATTGTGGAATAATTCTTATAAATGTGTGGATAAAAAAGTCACACAAATTGTTTTATTTCTTATAATAAAAATAAAAACTCAATTAAGAAATATTTCAATTTAGAAATATTGAATCTGCTGGTCACACACATTCTATGTGACCGTGACTTGTTTGCTTTTTGTTGTTGTTGTCATTCTTTGACCACAATTTCCAGTTTAGCACAGTTACTTCTTTGCATCTCCAAATTATGGATATAAAACAGAACAGGGCAGAAAAGATATGGAAGATATGATTAAAAGCCATCACTACCTTTGTAGACTTGAAAGAAAATATATTCAGAGAAAAATACATATTAAAAATCTGATATCAAATATGAACACCTCAAACGAATTGTTAGAAAATAAAGTTTAAAAATCTACAGAAAAGTAGAATAAAAAGTTAAAAATACAGAAAGAAGAAAAAAAATGTCCGAGGAAGTAACAAGAACCGATATCTGAAGGTTGAGTCCATGTCAACTATAGAATGAGAGGTGGAGAACTTTCTAAACAGAAAAAATCAGTTAAGAGTTGCTATTTTAGATATGAATTTTATAGGTTGAAGTAACTGAAGGAAGTACTCTTGGGCTGCGTCAAGGAGTATGGTGTTAGAGGATGATAGAGAAATAGATAAGGATGACCAAGATGACCTTACCATGTTCCTCAGCTTTCTAAACTTTAGGCTTCTTCCTGCTTCCAGTACTCTGACTTCTCTCTTACCTAGGCCCTAACAGAAGTCAGATGGTCTAACCACTGGACTCCCTTCTCTCTTTTTTCTTAGATCATTTACTTTAGGAAATGTGTAATTGTAAATGATTTGTTTTTTGCACTTTTGAGCTGTAAATCTTTTAAAAATCTTCTTGTCACTTATATAATACAGGGCTGTCTTCCTCAAGGGCCAAAAAGTCAACATTTTATAATAGAAGAAGGTAGTGTCCCTATCATCCTATGTCTGTGGGAGGACAGAAACCTAATTCTTGTAGATACCTTGCTCCAAATTGTAAAACTACCTCCTGTCATGAAGATATTAGAAGTTTATTTTTTCTTTGTGTGAGGCCAATTAGCTAACACAATGGATGTGATATCCCCAACTACAGTTTGAAAAAACTCTTCCACCTTTAAAAACTCTCATTCCAGGCCTTAAAAACTCTCATTTCAGTGGAATTGACCTCGGACTAAGTTCTGGCTTCTTTCTCTTAATGCAATAGCCTTGGATCAAGTCTATCTTGCCTATTTAAATTTGTCCAATTTGTTCAATTTTGAATTGCAATGTATGACAGAGAAGACTGAGTCTGCAAAGGAGACAAAAAAGGATGAACAGAGATTAAAAAAGAAAATCTAGATATTGTGGTACAATCAAGGCAAGAGAATATTCAGTGTCTACCTGCAGTGATTTGCCAAAAAAAAAATTCATACAGTGGGAACTGAATCATGTGCTTGGATTGGGCAGCAGAGAGTTCTTTGATTATTTTAGCAAGAGCTAATTTAGCAGAGTGGAGCACTTAGAAGTAACATGGAAGTAAAAGGGAGCCAGTAAATGCCAAAAAATGAAAGAAAAAAAATTAGAAAGTAGGACACTGAAGAAGAGGAACTGCAGGGCAATACATAGAAAGGTATTTTGGTTTAAGTAAGATTTTCAAAGACTGAAGAGATTCGAGCATGTTTAAAATCAAATGGAGAAAGTTTCAGGAAAAAGAAGAGCTTCAACATGGCAGAGAAAGAAAGAGCAATCAATAACACAGTTTCTAATAAGGTAAATCTCAAATAAAATAAAAGAGGATTTAAAATAGTGCAATTGGCTTGACCTCTGAATTCAAATATTTATAAACACATGTAGAATTATACTTACACTAAGTTAAATTTATTTTCAATAAAATAGAAAATTGTTGAATATTTTCAAAGTAAAATAGACTATAGGATCTGTAAAGTTAAAATCAACAGATAGAAGCTGCATGAGTTAAAGATTAGGAATCAAAATTAATTTAATGTCAATAAAGAAGTAAGTAAAAATAGGATTAATTATATATGAGTATGTTGAGTGTGAAAATTGTATGCAAATTTAGAAGGAAGGAAATATCAAGTTGCAGTATGAACTAAAGTTTGATGATGAAAGACAAGACATGTTGAAAAACCACTTGTACTGTTGTATTCAATCTCCTGTTATGATGATTAGTTTTATTCATGGAATAGCTACTGATCATTGCTAAATAATGTGATAAAATTAACAACAGCAACTAAGCTGCTAAGCTAAAATGTACACAGGCTTTGAAGGTGCCCTGGACCACAGTGATGGAGAGAAGTAAGGACCAAGATAAAACATTAGGAAAGACTCAGGAACTGGGACACAACTTGGCCCTGTGCATTGCTGCTGCCAAATTGATTAGAAAAGACTTTCCAGAAGAAATGTACTATTTAAGAGAAATATGAAAAAAGTAAGTCAGGTAAGAAGCTAAGCATGAAATAATATCATTCTCTATAAAGAGAGAGTTGAGATATGACAAATTAGAGCCTAACAGAGAAGCTGTTCAACTAGAGTGTAGCCAAGTAAAAGATATACTAAATTAGTGTGGGGGGTGGGGGAATATAGAGTATCTTGTTTTACTCTTTTATTTTACAGATGAGAAAACTAAAGATACTTGATAAGGAAAAAACATTACCAGAAAAGGTAGATTTGCAAAGTGAAAAATACTGCTAGAATGTATGACATCATGATTTTATATACTTTTAATTATATAGCAAAATAACTTCTTGGGCAAAAATGTATTACCCTTACAGTTATGTTGTACATAGTAATTTAGGTAAAGTCAAGTAAACAAATTAAATCATGTCTCAGAGATATTGCTTGAAATGCATATAAAAATTAAAGCACTGCAGAAGAAAAGCATATTTAAAATTTCCTAAATAAAATCAACTTATTTTCTCCTGCATCTTAACCTTGTCACACTGCATAGTAGAATCAATTTCTTTTTCTTTTCTTTTCTTTTCTTTTTTCTTGTGCTCCACATTAAAGACACTTTTCTTTCTATATTAGATCATATGGATTTAGGATGTCAATTTTAGCAGTGTTTATTTTATCAAAATGCTGAGGCTTGTAAGCTGATTTGATTTCTGCTACATC